TGAGGCCCTTGTGCAAGACCTCTATCGTGGTGGTGGTAAGAGAACCACCGGGATTGAGGGATTGAGGGATTGAGGCTTTGCCTAGCGGGCCCCTCCATCTACTGGTGGGGAGCAACACCTGCTGGAAACCGGGTCCAGCGTCCCTTAAAGACATCTTTGCAAAACAGTACATCACCGCAAACTCACACTACTGGTAGGACGTTTTTTATTTTACTTTTGAAACTACACTATGTTCTTCTCTCAAATTCTTTTTCGCCTTTCACTACCTTCCTACCACTACTCCCAAAGGTAGGACCTTTTCAAAAGGCGCACTTTTTTGGATGTGATTACAGCCAGATGCGTCCAGCAGGTCTCCCTTAGCTAGTCATTATTGCAGTCGCATGCAGTTAGAAAGGTGCCAGTGCGAGTATGGCCTCAGTGGGTACGCAATAGGGATCTCGGTCTCCTACTCACCAAATGTCAGAATGCCCAGTGTACCAATGAATACTGCAGTTGAACGCCCTCAGGTGGATTTGCCATTTTCACATATGGGCAGTGGAGAAAGGAGAGGAGGGCCCTCACTCCATGTCCTCTTTGTCCTTCCGACTCCTTCGCCTTCCCTCCCCTTCCCTCCCCCCTCTCCTCCACATGTCTTACAGCCTATATGTGCATATATAGATATATATATATATATACGCGTAAACCAGCGGATTGATATGCTCCCGGGTACACCACTCCGGACTCTGCTAACCAGCTCAACGAGCGCCACTGCGTATTCGTGMGGTACWCTATWCGAGAGMRARAGRRAKAGAGAGAGAGAGAGAGAGAGAGAGAGAGAGAGAGAGAGAGAGAGAGAGAGAGRSAKCAGKGGAGCTATGACTAYGGCGATGGCGAAGGGGAGGGCTTGGCTCMCGCTATWTCTRCTTCTRGCGTCGMCGTTWGMRRCCGGARCGTTTGCCAAATCTTCAGCGAAGGGCCGCAAGAGCTTGGAGGCTGACACGTCACACCTCTCTACTACTGATAAGGACGATCATTCGAGAAGAGAGGTTTTGCAAAGTGCGTGCGGCGGCCACCGACCCTGGTTTCCTCCCTCCTCCCTCCTCCCTCCTCCCTCTCTCCCTCCATGCCTCTCTCTTTACCGGCCTCCCCTGTCCAAATGCTGCTTACTCTCTCCCGTGTTGTCCAAAGTGGGACGTTGCTAAACGTTCAGGACAAATCTTGGGCCGAGTTTGACGTAGTTCTAATCAGTAAGTGATCTTTTGTCGGGATAATCAATCAATCACGTCAATCAATCAATCAATCAATCAATCAATCAAATTAGTCAATCAATCAATTAGTCAATCAATCAATCAGTCAATCAATCAATTAGTCAATCAATCAATCAGTGATGTCTAATCCACTTCCCGTTTGCTCTGATTTGCTTCGAAATGTCCTAGCATGCGCTTTCCCATTTTCGCCGTCCTTTTCCCGTTCCGTTTCTTTCGGCGGCACCAAGATCAATTATAGTTCCGTTCCGTTTGTCGCGGTTAGTCAGTCGTCAAGGTTCCCGGATGCTTCTCGTAAAGCTGCAATCTTCGGTGCAACGCATGTGATTGATTGACGTGTGATCGATCGATCGATTGATTGATTGATTGTTAATTGATTGATAGATAATGATAGATTGACTGATTGATTTATGCATACGTGAAATAGTTTTATTCACTCACACAACGCAATAATTTTTTTTCATGTTCCTGAAGTCTCTCAAAGTCGAAGCACAATAGTCGAATCATTTGATATATGGGGGAACTAAGCGGGTGTCACAAAAATGAGTTATAATGGCACTACGGGCCAAGGTACAGTTTTGAATTGCAGTTCGGGCAATGTATACAACCCAGCTTTCTGGCCAGGTAGGTTGCCTTGATCGATTGTTTGCTTAACTGATTCATTTAAGAACTTGGCTGCTTGCTTGATTGGTTGATTGATTGATTGATTGATTGATTGAATAGACTACTTGCTTAGTTCAGTTCATTGACTGTTGTTATGCCAAGGCATTGCGACACTTCGATCAAGTATCTACTTCCCCTCCTCTTCTTTGCCCTTTCTCTCCTCTTCTCCCCCTCCTCCTCACCTCGTCCCACAGCAGCGCTTACCCTCTCTCTGATTTCGTGAGCACTTATAGCTCGCTTTGATATCTTGACCTTTCACTTTGTCTCCTTTTTTTGTTTGTTTTCTCCTTTTCTTTTTTTTTTTCCTTTCATGCGGGGGACCCCTCGTTCCGATTTGAGCCCTTATTCATGGGCTTATTCCGAACCCGTTTTGTTGTGATTTCTACTAAACCCGTGGGCGTGATTTTTCTTTTCCCCCTTCTTTTTTAATCTCCCGTGTCAATGCTTCCGCTTCCCTCCCTCCCTCCCTCCCTCCCTCCCAGCTGTGGATGGACAATCGCCCGAAGCCCAGCTTTGGTCACCATAGCCCACCATAGCCCACCATAGCCCAACATAGCCGCGGCACGTTGTAACCCGTCACCCGTGCAAGAGAAGAGGGGGGAGGGGGGGAAGGAGGGAAAAGAAATGGTTTGCGCATCCTTTTTTTTTTCAGCCACGGGCCAAAGGCCCACTAACCAAGAGGAGTGGTTTGAAAACACCTGAATGGGGACGTGTTTGCGGAGAGGTGCAGAAAATCGAGCATTTCGGCATCTCTTCTCAAAACCCATTCACATTCCGGCGCTTAATCCAGTCCTGATTGCTTGTGGGACCTCGCCCACGGTGTCGCCTCCTACCCAATTTCTTTCTTTCTTTTTTTTTTTTTTTTTCATTTTTTTCTTTTTGTGTA